CTTTTTGGTTCAACTTCACTCACTGTCCAATATCAAGTTTTAGGTTGATAACATGCTTAAAGCTACTAGAGAACATGTTTTCTAACTTTTTGTTTTGTATTGTGTATTTACCGTGCATCACCAATGCTTCTCTTTTTAAGTCTTGTTTCATGGTCGCAGTTCTATGATTTATTAAATATATTTGAGCTCAATGGACTTCCATCAGAAGATAACCCGTACCTGTTCAATGGAGATTTTGTGGATAGGGGATCTTTTTCTGTAGAGGTCATACTCACTCTGTTTGCATTCAAGTGCATATCTCCATCAGGTGACAACTTAGTTCTTGAGCCTTCGAATTTATATGTTTATTATTATTTTTCTTTTTTGCATTATTACTTCTAATGGTTGCACTTGTACAGTTAAATAACAAACAAAATGTTCGAATATGAGGAAAGATCCTTGTGTCTTATGTCTGTTTATCTTTGTCAGTGTTTGCACCAATTGAATACAGACGTTAAATAATTTCTAGTATTTTGTAATGTGGATATGTTTGATCAAATTTTAGATTGCGTTCTTTGAATGTTATAGGTCATTCTAGAATAGGATGTCGGCTTGATAGTGTCACGTAAGGTTTGAATTACTAAAAAGGCAGAAAGTTCTGGATAGTACCAGGGCTCGTAATCTTGTTACTTCAGTAGCGAATTGTTTCACCTCTTGAAGTTCCTCTTGAATTGGAACTACATATAGTGGATTATAGCTATTTACTATTTTCTTCTATGTTTGCATTATACTGCAGCTTCGGTTAGCATAGAGCATTGCTTCTTATCAACATTTTTATACTTTCAGCTATATACCTATCTCGAGGGAACCATGAAAGCAAGAGTATGAACAAAATATATGGTTTCGAGGGTGAGGTCAGATCAAAATTAAGCGACGCATTCGTGGAACTTTTTGCGGAAGTATTTTGTTGTTTACCTTTGGCTCATGTGATAAACGAAAAAGTTTTTGTGGTTCATGGAGGCCTTTTCAGTGTAGATGGTGTCAAGCTCTCTGACATCAGAGAAATTGATCGGTTTTGTGAGCCTCCGGAGGAGGGTAAGCACCAAATGCAGTTTTTTATTTTCCATCTTCACTTGTCTATTGTGGTTTCTTTTGCTACATTACTTAAGTCGTCCAATATAGTTTTCACATACACAAAAATTTTCATACAACATAATCACTCTTTTGGGATTACGTTCTGTTACGGTTGATTCTGCAATATGCTAGACCTTCTTTATGATGAGTTCTTCTGTGTTAGCTTGAAAAATCATATGTCAACTTCTCGGAGCAGTTATATGTTCAAAACGATGATACACCACCTCCAAATCTATAGCAGCAATTATTTATAGGTAGACTTAATTTATTCTTGTTTAATGTTAACCAGGGTTAATGTGCGAATTGCTGTGGAGTGATCCGCAACCTCAGCTAGGGCGTGGCCCAAGTAAGCGTGGTGTTGGTCTTTCATTTGGTGCAGACGTAACAAAAAGATTTTTGCAAGACAACAGCCTGGGTAATTTTTAGTGGCAGTTTTGAATCTTTCTCAAGTCTGAGATTTTAATATGCACTACATCGGGGATTCTCATGTTCTTATATTACAGATTTAGTCGTCCGATCACATGAAGTAAAGAATGATGGCTATGAGATTGAGCATGACGGTAAACTTATAACAGTTTTTTCTGCTCCAAACTACTGTGATCAGGTAACTTGATCATCTGTTTTCGTCTTTACACGACTAATCCTTAAATCTCTGCACATTGCCGTGTCAAATACAATTTTCAGCAATTTCGAGGCTGCATTAGTGCTCAAGAGTCGAGAAAGTTTGAGTTTCAATGTTCGGTTTTGTTTTAACTACGATCCATTTCCCCTTGATTATCTGATACTTTATGCAGATGGGAAACAAGGGAGCATTCATTCAGTTTGAAGCCCCTGAGCTGAAACCAAATATCGTCACATTTTCAGCTGTGGTTCGTAACTTCTTTAAACACTGTTTCAGATATCGATTCAAAGTTGAATTTTTTGATATTACATTTGACGCGAAATTTCTGTGATGAATTGCAGCCGCATCCTGATGTCAAGGCAATGGCGTATGCCAACAACTTCCTTCGGATGTTCTCATAATACAGTATACCTAACTCGACTCTAATAATTACATTTTATAATGCTATACTTAGTTTTTGCTACACATTGCTGGCAGAAAGCTGAAGAAGAATACATTTTCGTCAAAGAAGATGACATTTGTACGTTATTTTTTCGAACTTTTTTGTGTAGACCGGTAAATTTAGGTTAAGCTGTAAAAATTGGCACCAGTGAAAGTGTCATGTACAATGATTGTTGTCATCCTCATTTATTGTGAATACTTCAAATCACTTTATCAATAATCAATCTATTTTGTACTTTTTTTTGTAATTAATTTTTCATTTTCCTTTTTTCTAATGTAATGCATGGGGATTATTTTATTACTAGTTTGCTTTGTGCATTTTTGTACGTTGAATTGGATAGAATTAAACATGATATTGGAATAGAGAAATATGACAGTCGAGTTATATCCAATCTAGCATGCTCAATATGTATTATTTTTAACAATTGCCTCGTATAAAATATTACACTTCTTTGAGATGCTAATGACACTTGATCAATGTTATAACTCGATCGAACTCATTAAAATTTTATTCAAGAATGTATGAAGTGACTTGTGCTTGTTATATCGATTTGCTAATCTATAGGGTCGAATAGAGAATTTGACATTATGTCTCATCAAAAACTTGTTGGATAGGCTTTCAATTCGAGTTTCATATCCAAATTAGTGTTTTAGTTATATGGCAACCTTTTAAATGTTTATTAATGATAAAAGATATGGATAAAGTTTAAAAAATGATTTAAGATTTTTTAACTTGACGTATTGCTTTTCCTCTTAAGAATCACGTTAGAGCGTAACAATATTTAGTCGATGTCAAGATTTAACGAGCCGCGAAATCTAGTGTGAATTGTAGGTTTAGAAATCTTGTGACCAAATATGAAGCCCAACTTGACTCGTGACCCACTTTAATTTAGGTCAAACATTTTATAAAGACCTCAAAGTCTAAGGGGTTGTTCTCTTTGTGTTTCAGTTTTTGAATTTTGAATTCATTTTGTATTTTGTATTTTGAGTGTCTATTTTGAGATTATTGAAAATGTGTTCTTTTTGACATTTTGAAAAATTGTTTTAAAAAACCTAAAATTGAAAAACGTGTTCTCTTGCAATCACATTTTCTTCCCATCTCTCTCTCTCTCTCTCTTCGTCTGTCTATTCCTCCTGTTTTGTGGCTGCAAGACTCGTTTTGGCAGAGGAAAGCAGGGGAAATGAGAATGATGTTTCCCGTGTTTTCAGTTTTTGCGTGGATTTGGCTTGAAAACACTCAAAACGACCTTTTGGTCATTTTGATTTTTGTGTAGAATTTTTTTTTTGTTTTCAAAAATACGTTTTCAAAAATGAGCAATGTTAGAAGTATATCGGGGTGTATATCACGGTGTACACCCCCCTCACATGGGTAAGGGGTCCACTTGAATATTTTATTCGAGTGGGTCTCTCCATGTGAGGTGATGTACACCTTGATTGGTTTTTTTTTCTTTTTTAAAACATGTGGGGCCCGCCAAGTTGTGAGAGGCCTGGCAGGCCCCTGTGAACCCCCACCTGTACGTGGGGGTTTTCCCGGCTTTCAATTCGAGTTTCATTCCAAATTAGTCTTTCTTAGCTCAACTAACGTCATATTAACCGTAATAGCCGTTAAATCTTCACGTAATGACTTCACATGGACTTACGAATCATCATTAAAGCGATTGATTATTTCTGGCTGACCTCGTGTTTTAGTTATATGGCAACCTTTTAAATGTTTATTAATGATAAAAGATATGGATAAAGTTTAAAAAATGATTTAAGATTTTTTAACTTGACGTATTGCTTTTCCTCTTAAGAATCACGTTAAAGCGTAACAATATTTAGTCGATGTCAAGATTTAACGAGTCGCGAAATCTAGTGTGAATTGTAGGTTTAGAAATCTTGTGACCAAATATGAAGCCCAACTTGACTCGTGATCCACTTTAATTTAGGTCAAACATTTTACAAAGACCTCAAAGTCTAAGGGGTTGTTCTCTTTGTGTTTCAGTTTTGTGTTTTGAATTTTGAATTCATTTTGTATTTTATATTTTGAGTGTCTATTTTGAGATTATTGAAAATGTGTTCTTTTTGACATTTTGAAAAATTGTTTTGAAAATACTCAAAATGCGTTTTGAAAATTTTGATTTGATTATAAATGAAAACACCCAAAATGACAAATTGGGTTTTCTTTTTTTTGATATTTTGAAAAATTATTTTGAAAAACCTAAAATTGAAAAACGTGTTCTCTTGCAATCACATTTTCTTCCCATCTCTCTCTCTCTCTTCGTCCGTCTATTCCTCCTGTTTTGTGGCTGCAAGACTCGTTTTGGCAGAGGAAAGTAGGGGAACTGAGAATGATGTTTCCCGTGTTTTCAGTTTTTGCGTGGATTTGGCTTGAAAACACTCAAAACGACCTTTTGGTCATTTTGATTTGTGTAGATTTTTTTTTTTTTGTTTTCAAAAATACGTTTTAAAAAATGAGCAATGCTAGAGGTACATCGGGGTGTATATCACGGTGTACACCCTTCTCACATGGGTAAAGGGCCTACTAGGTCCCACCATGTGAGGTGATGTACATCTTTTGATGTACATCTAGTATTTTTATTCGAAAATAGGAAAGAGAACGTGTTTTCTGAAAAATCCAAAATAGGACATGGATTGAAAATGGCGAACGGCACCTAAATCTCCAACTTGTTCCTCCCGCATCGAATCCGGACCCACCGTTCCATCTCCGGCGAACCGACGGACCAAAGAGTTGGGTATTGGGCCATTCGGGCAGTTTCACTGCTAACTTGAAGGGAAGAGAATTACGTTCAGGGCTAAAACCATCGTCTTTCCTTCTTCAAAAATGGCTTCAAAGCTTCTGTTAACCCGACTCCGAACAATAACCCGACCATCAAACCCGTTCAAGAACCTGAATTTTGAAGTACAAACTCTCACTCAGATAAGGCAATATTCAGATCCAATCGACCCAGCTGCCGCTCCTTCACCTGCCGTTGCCAATTTTAAAAGAGCTTCAAAAAGTTCCCTGAATGAAACTGAGCTCAAAAAATTCTCGGCCATTGCTGAGACCTGGTATTTTTTCCCTTTGTTAAGCAAAAACACTGCATGTTATTTAAATTTTCTAACTTTGTTGGTTTATTATTTTTACTTTTTGAATGAAATTTAGGTGGGATGCAGAAGGCCCTTTTAAGCCATTGCATGTGATGAACCCTACCAGACTTGCTTTCATTAGGTCCACTCTTTGCCGGCATTTCGGGTAATTTTAATCATGCTTTACGAAATTATTCTACTTCATCGAGTTAATATTTACTACATTATAGGCTTTCTAGAAACAAAAGATTGAATTTTGATGCCATTCTCTTTGTTAAAAAGTTTTTTTTTTTTACATGTCTTAAAATGTACAAATAGCTTGAGGTTATTTTGAAAAAAATCGTTGAAATTATATGGCAAGGTGGTACTAATATATACTCTAGAGACCATAGATCGAAACTTATAACAGGTGAGTGCTACTGCAGGAGAGAAGGAAGTAATGAGTATTTCAATCGCGCTTAACTCGTACTTCAATACATAAAAGAAACAGACTTCAATACTTCAATTGCTTAACCCGGAAGGTATAATTCCAGTGTGACTTCTATGCCTAAAAGAAAGGCTCTATTCTTGATAGTTCTTCTTGCTTCAGTACAGTTTGGATTTTCGATCATCTATTCGCCTCGTAGTTTGAGTTAAGAGTAATCTTTCTTTATTTTGGAGCTATTGTAATAATGAGAATTGATGTTAAAATGTAGTACGTTTCTTATTCTCTTATTAGCATAATTAAGAGGTTTTTAATGTTTAAGTACATTGTTTCTTCATCTAAATGGTGAAATAATTTATTTTTAGTTCATTAGAGCTAGATGGCCGATCTTTTTGATCCTCAAAAAAATATCCCCGTTGAAAAGCACTGATCACTAGCACATAGGGAATCCCCCATACACACATAACATCTTCACAAAGCCAAGCTACAAAAACCGTAACAAAATCTCAAAACACTCATAATTCTGTCTTCTCTATACCTCACAAGTGAGCACAAGCACATGGTTAGCAACTGATATTTCGTTATTTTTTGTACTGACTATATATATATCAGGGTAGTGGAACGAGACTGCATGGGTTTGTCTGATTTGTAATAGACAAAAACTGATGTCGTTGATTCTGGATAGTGTAGTGTTGAAACTGAGAACCGAGCATTTTGTCTTTTTTATCCTTGTAAATATATGTAAACTTTTTTGTAGGTGAATCTATTTACATACACCCACTTCGACCTAAGTAAGCCCATTTCTTAAGCCCTAAACCTGAAGAAAAACAAACCGGAATCAAATTTGAACACTTGTGCCCTTTGCACGGCAAAATTGCATGTTTTTGTTGAAAGTAATAAAAGAAACTATGACAAGCACAAATATTTTCTTTCTCAGTCAGTAATCTATTGGAAGCTGATAATTATGTGCATGTTTCAGAAAGAATCAAAACTGGGCACAGCCATTTGAAGGATTAACGTTTGTGGATGTTGGTTGTGGAGGGGGAATTATATCTGAGGTATGCATCTTTAAGTTTTGACAATCCATCAAACTGATATTATTCATTGTAATAATCTGTCATGAAATTGCTCTCTCTCTCTCTCTCGGAAGGGAAAATCAGAATTCTTAAGACCACTCATGTTAACATCAACAAACCCTTATTCTTAATAATTTTAAGGTTGACTACATTAATCCCTTTTCCTCGCTCTGTCTTTAATTCATTGCTTCATCTACTGGAGTATCTACAGCAACTATGATGTTAGCAACCAGAACATTTTACGTTATTTTTTGGTGTAGTCCTCTTTCTGGCTTGTTCTACTCAAATCACATCACTCTCGAGCCTCTCTAGATCTATAGGCCACTCGTGTTAATTGGAACCATAACTTGATCTTATCAAGTTGGCTGGTAGATACACTTGCGTACTAAAATTGAGGATTGGATAGCTTTCTTATTTAATTTTTCTTTTACGTTTCAGCCTTTGGCTCGTATGGGGGCTAGTGTAATCGGAATCGATGCTGTGGAGAAGAATATCAAGATCGCACAACTTCACGCTGTATGTTTTATTATAGAACAGAAGTATATGAATCTCGTACATTTTACTGATGAATGAATGTACAAGCAAGCACAAAAGTGCATACTATTTCTCTTTGTTTGCTAGTGTGCAGGGAGAGTATGATATCCAACTATCATTTCGTTTTCTTTTAGTTTCTCTTTACCTGATTTCCTCCACTGCAATCTTTCACGATCATTCAATTTTGGACAACTTGAATGACTGACCTATCCAGATTCTGCGGTGTTGGATGATTGCATTCGGGAAGGAGTCAAACCCATGTCCACATATTACTACTAATTCAGAAGTACAACTACACTGCAATACCCAGCTCAAATACAATGAGAGTTTTAGAAGTCCCACATATGCTTGCTTTTCCTATCCATCATTCTGAAATTGCTCTTAGATTCTGTTTTTAGTCATAATAACATTTTTTAACCTTTTTATGCATTATTCTTACCATTGTCAATATCCTATTTCACTGAAATGTCTGTGAGCTCACAGAAGCAGGGTTGCCGGATGATGGAACATATGTCTTTTTCATAAGAGTTTATCTTAAAACTTTCATGTACTCTTAAGAGTATTATTATTTGGATTGCATTTTGGGATTTAGTATTAAAACTGATGGGATTTTATATCTTTCCCAGGATTTGGATCCTATAACTTCATTTATAGAATATCGTTGCACAACAGCTGGTACACATCTTACTTGTTTATTGACTATGAAGGTTGAAAATATTTGATTAATTGTTTACTGCTTTCACATATTCAAATCAATCTCATATGTAATTGCACGTCCTGTGACTTGTGTCTTCATATTAGACTGTGGCCCATCTGCTGGAAATGAGCATATTTATTTGATGATCTTTATACTTAAATTATTTTTATTCGTGTATCATTATTTGAATTTTTTTCTTTGATGTTCCCTGGTGCACGAGTGTTTCTTATATCCCTTTTTATGTTTTCAGTAGGGGGTAGAACAAATTCGTCTAATTACTGGCAAGACTCTTTTCTTTATTATGGCATGAAAAGTTTATTAATTACTTATCGTTCTTTTGGTGCGTATGGGTTGTGTTTTAGCTTTTGGCTTTTCGTGTATTATTGCCTGGAAAGTTCTGATTGCTATTGCTGACATTTATGTGGTCATAGTTATATCAAATTCTTCATTTCTTAAAGATTTTACTAGCTGAACCTCTGAAATCGTTCTTCAGAAGCTGATGCATATTGCAATTGTGTCAACAGAAAAGCTGGTGGAAGAACAGAGACAATTTGATGCTGTAATTGCATTAGAGGTACGTCAATGTGTTGATGCTAGAGCAACTTCCATATGATGACGTGATTGCATAAGAAACACAATAGCATATTATACTAAAGACCACGTGAGCATACGGTATGGAGTAAGTATGTTTGATAAGGTTTTTTCGAACTTATAAGCTGGTCAAACATTAATTTTATCCACGCATTCTATAGGACCCATAATTTTCATCCACTTTTCATCCCCGCATTCTGTAGCACTTGAGCTTATAATCTACAAAAAGCTTTACCAAATTACGCTAAAGGGCCTAATTGGCATAGCTTTTGCTTGTTGTAGAAAAGTTTTTCGAGGAAACTACCTTGAGTTAACTTCTTATAAAAACTCTTTCAATCAAATAAAGCACTTTAACAAAATTATACACTTAGGCCCAAAAGTAGTTCTTAGAGGGTGTTTTTTAGATTTTTAGTAGATTTTGATAGAAGTTTTTGAAATGTGTGAAAAGTTGTGGGACCCATGAAATGTATGATTAATATTGATTGTTTAACTTTGACTTGGATTAAAATCAAATTTTAATCCGGACCAAGCAGGGGCTTAGTCTCTGAAGTAGCTCTTCTGTAAAATAAAAAAACAAAATGCCACGCCAAAAGGGCCCTAAATTGTTAATGTTTTGCCATATATTTTCACATTATACGTTCTTTTCCTTCATTTGACACAGCAGATGCTACTCTGCTTGCTCTATTATTCTTTATGATCTATGTTTGCTTCTCTTTCCTTTGTTGTCTACTTCAAAGTATATATCTGGTTGTTTCGCAATTTACCTAGGTAATTGAGCACGTGGCAAATCCTTCCGAGTTCTGCAAATCTTTGTCGGAATTGACCAGTTCCAGGGGAGCGACTATCATCTCAACAATTAATCGATCAGTGAGAGCATATGCTTCTGCCATTTTAATGGCAGAGCACGTCTTACAATGGGTACGTTTACTGATCTGTAATCCCTTCTCATTATTGCTTTTTGTCCGGTTAATGTGTTAGCTCGTTTGAACTTACCAGCTCCCGAGAGGCACACATGAGTGGTCGAGCTTTCTTACTCCTGAAGAATTAGTCGTAATTCTTCAGCGTGCTTCGATCTCTGTAAGTCCTTTTGAATAATATTTGTCGACTATGCTCTCTTTTTCCTGCATGTAATGATCATTTGCTTGCTTCCATGCCTTTTTCCAGGTCGATGAGATGGCCGGGTTTGTGTATAACCCACTCACAGGGCAATGGTCTATCTCCGATGATATCAGTGTAAATTTTATTGCATTTGGCACGAAGATGGCTAATGAATAACTGTAACTTTGTTTTACGCAATTTTTGACAAAGCTCATCGTCGTTTTTCCTTGTTGATTTCATGTTCACATGCAAATTAAATTCCAACACGTAATTGATCCGGTTCAACCGATAGGTAGTTTTTCCGAACCACAATGGGCATTTCCTTAACCTACTCAAAATTTAATTTCAAAAATGGTCATTGAACTTCAAGTGAAATTTCAAATTGGTCGTTGAACTGTATGTGTGACTAACTAAATTAAGGCCCTGTTTAATACACATTATTTTTTTCATTCTCATTCTTCTACTCATTTTTAATCACACATTCTTCAATAAAATAATATTTTCCATCACATCAATGATTTTTTCTTCTTTTTTAACCACACATTCTCCATCAATCTACTATTTAATAATACATTCTTTCAAAAGAATGTGGTTCAAATACACTCTAAATTAATGTTAAAAAAAGTAACTTCATGTTCGTTTGGGGGGAAGTGATATAATTAAAATTTAAGTCATTATAAGTTGTAAATCCTACATTATGTATGTTTTACTCCATTTAACCTTATCTTATTTTTCATCATTTAGTCACGACAGAGTTAAAATAGGAAATTATCTTAAAAAGGAATAATTGCTTGAATGATCACATATTAGTATATTGGGGGTATCGGCTTGGACAACACGTGCAAGTTTTCATGCATGTATCTCGTCCGTGTTTTTCGAGACGTTGCTTGTAACTCAACTTGGGATAATGGCATGAAACTGCAAACTTTCGTGTTTCGAGTATTGTTCGAATGAGTAGATAGTGCCTACCAAGTAAAACTTTCTTGAAAAGTTTGTGTTGTTTCTTTTTCTGCTTTCCACATTTCATTTATTTAAATGTTGAGACGAGGCAAGTCCTAAGAAAGTATAGATTTGCTTCTAGATCTGTCTTGATCGATGTCCTGCTCTCGACGGAGTGGAGTCCTCGAACGAACTAGTCTACATACGAATTAAACAACTACAATATCAAGAGGATGGTCCATTTTAGCGATTAAATGGGTCACAATTACTTTAGCGATCAATTTGAAAGTTTGTTTGAACTTCAGGGACCATGACTGTAAATTGTGGGTGAAAGCAAATCAAATTGACATTTATAAACAGATCAGCATGAGAAGAAAAAGAGCTTTTTAACTTCGCAAGACAAAAAGAGTGTGAAAAGAGAAGAAGATGGAGAGCGTTAAGCATTCGGCGGTGGCTCGGAGCCGTTTGGCTGTGCTATCGGCTCACCTCTCGGCGTCAATTAATCCATGTGATGTGGTTTCCATGGGGATCCTCGAAGCTTCCAACTGCTCGGCTGCCGTGGCGCCGCCTCCGAAGGTTGGAGGCTCGTTAACTATTGTCGATGATCGAACTGGTAAGCAGTACCAGGTTCAAGTCTCCGAAGAAGGCACTATAAAGGCTACGGACTTAAAAAAGGTAATTTGATATTGAATTCTTTATTACTGTTCTTATGTTTTTAATTGGATTAAATCGATGCAAATTTGTTAATGAAATTGAGGAATTCGAGCAGAGTAATTCTAATTTTATGCTTACATTACTCAGAAAGAAAAATTAATCTTGAAATAATTGTATTTGTTCGTGTTATTTTTCACGATTATTGATGGAATTGTGGAAATGAGTAATATAGATAACTACGGGAAAGAATGACAAGGGGATCAAGCTTTATGATCCCGGGTACCTTAACACTGCTCCTGTGCGATCGTCTATTTGCTACATAGATGGCGATGAAGGGATTCTCAGATACAGGGGTTATCCAATTGAGGAACTCGCTGAGGGGAGTTCCTTTCTGGAAGTGGCTTATCTTTTAAGTAAGTTACTGCTAGATTTCCTGTGTTCATCTCGAGGAGTAAACAACTTATGTGTTGACACATTTGCGAGATATATTTTTCTTATCTTATACTGTTTACTTTATATTTATGATGCACTATGGCAAATGAATGCATGTAGTTGTTTTAATGCCTTCATTTACGGTTTTCCTTTCCCTTTTTTGAGCTTTGATTTAATTTTGAGGTCCGCCAAGCTTGCCCTTGACATTTTTTGAAATTAATGGATAATTGCATTCTAGCTTTTCTTGGTTGTAACAAGAAGATCCACACTTGCAAGTCATAATTTTATCTGTTATAATATTCAGATTTCTGTAAAATTTGATATTTTAGTGCTGGAAGCTGGGAATAGCAACTTCTTATGTTTTCTTGCTCCATGTGACCGGCAATATGCGAATGCATTTTGTGATTTGATTATTTATTTATGTTTTTCACTTTTATTTTGGATTGTTTTGGACTTGATCACTCACTTACACATTAGATTCATTATGCCCTTTTGATGGCAGTGTATGGGAATTTACCATCTGAAAGTCAATTAGCAGACTGGGAGTTTGCCGTTTCGCAGCATTCAGCTGTTCCACAAGGAATTTTGGTAAAGCCTGTATCTTATCCCAGGATGAGCTTTCGAGTCATGCTCAGTAAAATTATTTGTAAGACCTTGGTTTGCCAAACCAATGGATATACTCTTTAGAGCATGGAAGACAGGATTTTAATGTTTGAGAAATCTCAAATGTTTTGTCAGTCTATGCTATTTGATCAGATGTTGAGTGATGATATTGGGTTGATAATTTGATCTTACTAACACTAAATGGTATCTTGTTTATTACGAATGCCTGAGAATTTATATACATATTTCATGTTTCAAATGGAAAAAAAATACCGTTTCTTCATAAACGTCTATAGGTCATGTATGCTTTCCTTTGAATTGAGCAATAACTGAATTCGATTGTGACCATTTCTGGCAACTAATTGTAAATGTTATGAAGATTTGAAGAATAAATTTGGAGAAGATAAAATTACCCGTGTAGATTTGTAAGTGTTGTGACTCACTGACTTGTAATGCAAGTAGGAATGTGCTACATGATATCTTTCAAGTCTCACGATGCACAGTTTTAATTTTTGTCCCTGTTTTTTGATCTAATAATGCCACGTTAGAATTTAAGAAGCTGCAATTTGTAGCAGGTTAAATATTTTCTTCAGTTGTTCTGAATGCATTTTGATTCTGTTTTTTAAGGACATTATACAAGCAATGCCCCATGATGCTCACCCAATGGGTGTTCTTGTCAGTGCAATGAGTGCTCTTTCCATCTATCATCCTGATGCCAATCCAGCTTTAAGAGTAAGCCAGTTTTTTAATGTTCTAAATTTCTTAGAACTCTTCTCATTTCCATTAAGCCTTGTTTGAGCCCCATTTTCTGAAAACTCGTTTTTCCTCAAACTCATTTTTAATCACACATTCTCCCAATAAAATAAGATTACACGTAAATCCGTAACTTTTTAACCACACATTCTTAAAAAAATCACTATTACAAAATTCATTTTTCACCAAAATGGGGGCTCAAACAGGGGCTAAATATTTGTCTGACACTGGCTTCCTGATTGTGGAAGTCAACAATGAATTCCCCATGCTTAAGGGGCCTGTCACACATCTAGAATATGCATTTTTTTTTTCGATCTCTAATTCTGGTGGTCCCTACTTTCATTGCTTAGAATAGGTAGCCCAAGCTACTTACCTTTAGGCACGTGCTTCTGACATTTTATGTTCTGAAAAATTAGTAGGATCAAAATTTTGAGCAGTTGTCTTTTGTGAATTACTCTTAGGAGCTTTAAGCTGCTTGCGTTCCTTCAGAAAAGTTGCTACCCATGCCCACCATCCCCACTTAGGTGGATCATTATCTTGTTGCTATTACATTTGGCTGTCATGTTCCGAAGAATAAATACATGACCAAATATTGCTATTCTGATGATTTGGTTCATATTCGTACAGGGCCAAGATATATACAAATCTAAACAAGTAAGAGATAAACAAATAGTGCGCGTACTTGGGAAGGTTTGTTCCCTTTTCCCTTCACTTGAACTTATGTTTGATCACCTCAAACAGTTGAAAAATTAGCCAAGCTATTGGATGCTGCTTGTTCAACTTATTACGAATTCTGGTGGCAACGGTAGAAGAGTACTCAATTGTGTTTTCACTTTGCAGGCCCCGACAATTGCTGCGGCAGCCTACTTGAGGATGGCTGGAAGGTCACCTGTTCTTCCATCCAGCAACCTCTCATACACGGAGAACTTCTTGTACATGCTTGATTCATTGTATGTTCTGTTTCCTGCTTTGGTTCTTTCTTATTCAATAATAACTGAGTAAACACAGTGAGAGAATGTTTCCTGGTCTAGTTGGAGTGTCTTTCTGTATCTAATTTTTCTTTTCAAGATAGTGGTGAATCATAGTCACTTTAGGTTAAACACAAACAAGTTCACATCCAGTTTAATTGGCTTTCCCACACCAAGTTATTCTGCTATAATATGATCCATAGAAATTTAGGCTTTTATTTTTTACTTAGATTTTTTTGGTTATGAAACATACAGGGGTAATAGGTCTTATAAACCCAATCCTCGGCTTGCTCGAGCTCTGGACATTCTTTTCATATTACATGCAGAACATGAAATGAACTGCTCTACTGCAGCTGCACGCCACCTTGCTTCAAGGTATGCATCTTATTGTCTACTTCAAAAATGATCATTTGTATTAGTTACCTTGCGAATCTGCCTGTGTAGTGGTGTTGATGTATACACAGCCCTTGCTGGAGCAGTTGGGGCGCTGTATGGTCCTCTTCATGGTGGAGCAAATGAGGTAATCAGCATTTTAGCGCTTATGAAGTTGCTCCTACAAAATTTTATTATGAATTTTCCTTTTTTTTTTATGCTTCAGGCTGTGCTTAAGATGTTGAGTGAGATTGGAAGTATTGACAAGATACCAGAGTTCATTGAAGGTGTAAAGAACAGGTAGGTATTGTCGTCTGACAGAAGCTATTCCAAATACTCCTATGCATGGCCTAACTCTTGCAGTTCACGTGCTTATATTATTCCGCATTCTCTAGGAAGCGTAAGATGTCTGGTTTTGGGCACCGCGTCTATAAAAATTATGATCCTCGAGCAAAA